GTATAATGGTCACAGAATGCATCATAGCAAGATAAATAAAATAACAAATTAATCTCTAAAAGATTTAAATGAGACGTTCAGTCCATGAGGTTTCAAAGTACCTAGTTGAAAAATAATACGCTCCTCCAAACGTCTACGATTAAATTTAGATGAATTACATTGTTTGATACCAGTAACTAATATATCATTATTAATATCATGATTATCATTAAAATGTTCAGCTATAGGAAGACCTGACGTGTTAAGGTTGATAGAGCGCAAATGTTCAACGAATCTATCTCCAAGCCTGCTTTTCGTTTCTCCTATATAAACCTTATTACATTTAACACAAATAATAGCATATATACCATTACTAGAGGTACATGTAAATTTCTCTCGAATAGAAAAATTACTGGAAGGTCCTACGATAGTATCCGTACATACAACATGCTTACATGTCTTACATCTACTTCTATTACTTGTACTAGTACTTTCGACCATAGGTCATCATCAGGTACTGATAGGATAGTGGAAGGAACAGGGTTATATAGAGAACATATACAAAAGAAGCGGTGGTCTATATATACATATACATATATATACATATATATGTATATATATATATGTATATATATATGTATAACTATATATGTATATGTATATATGTATATGTATATGTATATTATACATATTTATATGTATATATATATATATGTGTGTGTATATAGATATATGTATATATATATATGTATATATATTATATATATAATATATGTATATATATGTGTGTATATGTGTATATATATATATGTATGTATATGTATATATGTATATGTATATATATGTATATATGTGTATATATGTGTATATATATGTATATATATATGTATATGTATATATGTATATATACATATATACATATACATATATATACACATATATACACATATATACATATACATATATATATATACATATACAAATATATATATACATAGGCCTACATATATATATAATTTATATGTATATGTATATATGTATATGTATATATATGTATATGTATATGTATATATATGTCACTGACTTGATAAAGGGTTACGCCCGAAAGATCTCGTCTATTTTCTTAATAAATTTTGAGGCAAATCTATTACCATCTCTACGAGTTTTATTTTATTGTATATATATGTATATATATATATATGTGTGTATATATATATATGTATATGTATATTATATATATTTATATGTATATATATATGTGTGTGTATATCTATATATTTGTGTGTATATAGATATATGTATATATATGTATATATATGTATATATATTATATATATATATTATATATATATTATATATGTATATATATGTGTGTATATGTGTATATAAATATGTATGTATATATATATGTATATATGTATATGTATATATATATATAAATATATGTATATAGCTATATATATGTGTATATATATGTGTGTGTGTGTATATATATATTTATGTATATATACATATGTTCTTCTATATAATATAATTATATATATAACATAATACAATAAAAATATAATAATAATATATGTATATAATAATTATTATATATGTATAATTATTATTATAACTACAATAAAAAACTATAAACTAATTATTATATGTTTATCGTCGCTATTTCCAAGAACCGACAAATACGAAGATCGCGATTGAAAAATTATTACTTTTTGATGCCAATTTCTGACCTGAAAAATTCGTTGCAGGATTCTTGTATTTATTATTTAAGACATATTAAATAAATTGTAGTTATAAGGTCACAATGTTTATATCAATTTATTAATTAATTAGTAATTAACTAATTTAAAATAATAATTAAGATTATATCAATTAAGATATTCGTAAAGTTCTTGTGAAAGTTACCGTATTTACATAATTGCAGTTTATTTATACGGCATTTCGACGGATTCGTCAATTCATGTGAACCATCCTGAGCTCTGCTTACCAAAAATACGCGGTAATCGCGCGATAGTATTAGCATTTGCATACATGAACACACTTTGACGATGCTTTTGTTTTTGTTTTGTTTTACATTTACATCCAGCGTTAGGCCCACTGAATTGTTTAAATGCTTAAATGCTTAAATAATTGAAAACATAAATTATGTGGACTAAATTCTCATATAATTTACAATGAAACTTCATAATGTACGGTATTTTATAATTATTTTTTTTAACAGAATAAAATAGGTAACATTTTATTGAAAAAACCCCAGATTTTACATCTATAGACGTAAGTTGATTTAATATGCTGAATCATTATTAATGGTATAGGCCTACCTAATATATATTTCTATAAATTAATCAACAAATATCTCATTAATCACACTATCGCAAATAGGCCTATTGATTTATTTATACGGCATTTCGACGGATTCGTCAATTCATGTGAACCATCCTGAGCTCTGCTTACCAAAAATACGCGGTAATCGCGCGATAGTATTAGCATTTGCATACATGAAAACACATTGGCGATGCTTTTGTTTTTGTTTTGTTTTACATTTACATCCAGCGTTAGGCCCAATGAATTGTTTAAATGCTTAAATAATTGAAAACATAAATTATGTGAATTAAATTCTCATATAATTTACAATGAAACTTTATAATGTACGGTATTTTATAATTATTTTTTAAACAGAATAAAATAGGTAACATTTTATTGAAAAAAACCCCCAAATTTTACATCTATAGACGTAAGTTGATTTAATATGCTGAATCATTATTAATGGTATAGGCCTACCTAATATATATTTCTATAAATTAATCAACAAATATCTCATTAATCACACTATCGCAAATAGGCCTATTGAAGTATTATGAAATATTATTAATTCTTTACTAAAGCATTATTCGAGCACCTTCATTATTATTATTATTATTATTATTATTATTATTATTATTATTATTATTATTATTATTTTATGTATTATTTATCAACCATACTAACATTGAAAACATGAATTATGTTTAAATAAATATTATGAATCAAATAATCAACTCCCCACCCAAAAAAATGACTGTAAACAAAGCAACATCATTGTCAACAGATTCTATTGATTTTCTACTCCAGTAGAAAATTATATTTTTTTAGGTTTACAGTACAATCAGTGTAAAAGTGTAAGATATAGGTGTGGATCAATTTAAAAAATGTCATAATGGTAATGTTCAAAATAAGTGTCAAGGAAATTAAGTGTGATTTTTGGAAAAATGGTCAACATTTTATTTTTATTTCTCACCCTGGCCTTCGCCTGGGAAAACTAGGCGAATGTCTGGATCCGCGCCTGATAATTATGATCTACGCATCCTCAAGTGGCTTCAGCTGGGCGATATTTTACTAAATGGCCCTAGGCTTTGGTTGGCTAGCGTCCTAGCCTATGAAATGTCTAGCCAGCGAGAAAGACAAAACGATTATACAGACATCGTACGTATGCATATTAAAAATAATTAATGTACAAACAAATCTGTTTTACGAACGACCAACTTCCTTGATTTGACGGCGTACGTAAAATTTAGTTTCTGCTATGGCCTGTTTCAGTCAAAGTTTTGACTTGCCAAGCATTTTTTTTAATCTAGGCCTAGGTCAGCAAAAATTTGCCATCCTGTGGCAATTCTGGCACGGCAATATGGTCAGTAATTACAGAATGCGGACGTGAAATTCATGGACTGAAAGAACATAATACACTCTTCGGAAGAGTAGGGGATTGCCTCCCAGGCTACTGCCCAATTCACCACCAGAAGGACCCCACTGGAAACAAGTCTTGGGAATTAGTGGGTTATCCTTGGTGTGATTCACACTGAAATACTCTTATCCTATCTACCAAGCTAGCAACTTGCCTACCTCATCTGCGGCATCCATGATAAAATTGGCCTTTTCCTGGTCAAGGCCAAACTCTTTATTTACACAAGCTGCTGCTTTCTTGAGAATTCCAAAAGCTTTTATTAATGGAAGCTAAAGATATTGAAAAACAAGAGAAAATGTTATTTACCAAACATGAATCGTTGTCAGATGAGCAAGTTTACAGTTTCAGATTTAGATTCATGCAGAGTTCACAATAAGATGCATTTCAGTTATTTACAATGTAACTTTTTTGTCAAAAAAATAATTCTTTGAAAGGTATTTACAGGCATTGTTTCCCTTTCTCCACCGATGTCAAAGTTTAGGAGTGAGCGTGCAGTGTTGGCACCGTAATACATGTCTTCTGGAACTTGAAGCTCCCCAAATCCATCTTGTTCAACTCGAAATGTTGTCTAGATAATGGATTATCAAAAGAAATAAAATAGATTTTATATTTTTAAGGTACTGTATGTAGTGACAATAACTGTACTAAAGATTTTCTTTGTTGGCCATAATTTAAATTTTCCCTGTTGGCACCACTATAAATTTTCTAATTTAAACCAAAAAAAATTTCAGTAATTTTTTTATTGTAATTTTTTTCAAGATTTCATTATTTTATTACTTTTATAACCAGGTACTGTACATCTGGGTCATTCCATACCAAACTAGAACTTACTTATTTTACTCTACGCAGCAAAAAGCACAGCCTAAACTTTGTACAGCAATTTAGTTTGCTTTTTGTTAATCCTGTATCTGATTTTTGGTCTGTTGTTATTTCTGTTTGTAATGACAAAATAAATGAAATGAAATGAAAGTTGGGCCAATCAACATAACACTACCTTAGGGGGTCCGGGGGCATTCCCTGTGAAAGTTTTTGTTTGTTTTAGACGACCAAAATAACCTCTGAGGCGTTTTGGGCAATCAATTTTTTTTCTTTTTTCTTTTTTTTTTAATTTTAATTTTTAAATTTTTTTCCATTTTTGGATTGGCTGTTTTTGCTCGTTTTTACATTTAGGGAACAGAGATATATTTACCACATATTATATCCAGCCCCCCCCCCCTCACCCCCCCAAAAAAAATAGGAGAAAAAAATGGAGTAGAGTGGAGAAAGGGAAAAAATGAAGTGTACTCATGATTTCAATGGTGGACCCAGCAGTGGGTGAAAGGAGAGCTTGATTAATTTACCACTCACTAATTTTGAATTTTCTATTGATTGACAACAAACACAACGCCGATTAAAATCAGAATGTAAAAAAGGCCAAAAAACGGAGACCTAAGCATAGCTCTCAACGAAGTGCCATTTCCGAGCGTCTAGAGCCTATTCTTAAACTTTGCTCACCTCAGCCCCACCCATGGTGGGGCTAAGGTGGGTGTTGACTACCTATTAGCCCCGGTCAGAAAATTTCTGGATCTGCCCCTGTCAGATGGCTAGAAATGGCACTCATAGGATTTGAATTTAATTTTCAGTTTTTTCTCATTGCTTAAAAATAATTTTGAAATATTTACGTTTTAAAGCCCTAGGTCCCCACTGCATGGGGACCTAGAAATAAACGAACATCTTGACAGAGAAGACCTAATGGTTGTTACAAAAGATTATTCCTTGAATATGCCTTGAATATCAACTATAAACAACATTACAAATAAGGACCTGTATGGAGATACTCCACCTGCATCAAGAACTTTGAGGGCACGAAGGTTGCCATTTGCTGGACATTGCTACAGAAGCAAAAATGAAGTTATTTAAAGGATTCCCTTTTGGGAACCAACCCATGGGAAAAGAAGCAAGGACAGCACGGACTGCATACATCAAGCAATTAGAAAAGGATCTAAACACACAGCAGCAGTACATTCCACAACTTAAGGAAAACAGCGATTAAAAAAAGTTCTAATTGTGCTCATCATTAACCGGGTGTGCCCAATGAAGAGAGAGAGAGACAAGGAAGATATTACTGCAGTAGGCTCAGGGTGCCTGAGGTCGAATTCAGAGGTTGAACAAAAAAATTAAATTGTCCCTTTTTAAATGTTTGAAAATAATAGACATAAATTTTAAGTATTAAAGTGCCATTACCAGCATCTAGAAGTCCCTAATTCTTAACATTTTCTCACCTCAGTCTCTACCAGGTGGATATAGAAATTTCCCTAGTTTTTATGTATTAAAGTGCTATTTTCTAGCATCTTAAAGTCCCCAATTCATAAGATTTTCTCCTTCTTCATCCATGAGGCTTAGGTGGATATAGTAATTTTCGTAGTTTTATGTATTAAAGTGCCCTTTTCAGGCATCTGAAAGTCTCAAATTCTTACAATTGTCTTACCTCAGCCTCAAACATGGTGGGCTGAGGTGGATGAATTGGTAGTTTTCAAATTTTAAGTATCCAAGTGCCGTTTTCAGGCATCGAAAGAGTCTCAAATTCTAAAATTTACTCATCTGCATCAATTACTTTGATTTTCTATTTATTTACTTATCAATTCATGTCAACAATATTTATATCCAAAACAACGAATCAATTATGTGAATAATGTCCTCCGAAAAGGAAAGAGATGATATTCATGAACAAAAAAGCCAACTGGGATAATATAAAGACATGGAAAAATTGAGTAACATAAGGCCTAAAAAAACAATTTGTTTGTTTGTTTGCTGTCACATTGTAAAAATTTGAACACGGGGGCGGGTAGAAAAAAGTTTTTTTTTTTTTTTGTAAAATATAGAAACTTTGTGAAACTTTGCGATTGTCATTTTTTTCACGGAAAAAACGATCAATTTTTTGTATTAAAAAAAATGGAAAATAGTAAAAATTTCCATCTAACACTTATATGTGCCAAAATCGACAATAAAGTGGTTTTCATTTGATCTTTTAAACTTAGAAAAAAAAAAACTTCGGTGAAAAAAAAAACCCCCAAACTTGTCACTGAGGACGATTTAGGTGATCTGCCGCACTTCGACCCTCGAGGAAGTGTGCGCGGTGCAGATTAAACAATTTTTAAATGCTGAAAATGGCCGAAAGTATCCGCTAATTCAGTTTCTTAAAAAAGAATTTGGAGCAATTTAAAATATTTACTCGCGCGTACGCACACGTCATGATGCACGTGCACATGGTAATGTCACAAAATGTTGATTCCTGATATGAGATATAAGTATCAACTCTCATTGACAAACGCCTGTTGGTGAGGGGCTTATTATCATTCATAATATTTATCATATATAAAAATTCAGTTTTTTTTATTCAGATTGCAATATGACGTCACAATGTCCAATCAGCCCTAATGATCCATAAAATCATATCCACAACTCATGTGCTTTCAGAATATGTAATAAAAATTGGGGGGGACCTTTCATTCTAAGGAGCTATAACTGATTAAAAATATTAATGATTTTAAGCATATATAAATTTTGACGCACGTGTACGCGCACTTTATGACGCGCTCATAAAATATTAAGGTACATCTTAGCCTGAAGTTTATGCTCACTAAATATGATTCAGAAATACTGACTGGTGAAGATGATTATGGGAGTCATTATAGTTTTGAGGAAAGAAAGATGAGGGGGGGGGGGTCAGAAAAAACATTTATTTGACCATGATGGCGTCATCAAAATGTAAAAAAATGTCGCATTCACATGAAAGAGAATTGTCTCAGCTATAACATACTCAAAGTTGGGAGACGATCGATCAAGGATAAGCGAGATACAATCAAATGCATATTTTCAAAAATGATGTCATAGATAAAATTCAGTTTGTTTGAATTCAGATGGCAATATGATGACGTCACAATGTCCGATCAGCCATTATGATCCATAAAATCATATTTACAACTCATGTGCTTTCAGAATATGTAATAAAAATTGAGGGTCACCTTTCAAAAGGAGCTATAATTGATTAAAAATAGGCCTGATTTTAGCATATTTTCACTGTATATCGGCCCAAATGCGCGCAAATATCCCTATGTTAGATGCATGCGTAAGACATTGCTATTGGTCATAAGATGACAAGAAAAAATGGTTAACATGATATGGGGTCATCAAAATTTTGAGGAAAGAAAAATTAGGGGGTGGGGGTCAGAAAAACATTTATTTTGACCATGATGACGTCATTAAAATGTAAAAAGATGTCACATACATGAAAGAAAATTGTCTGAGCTAATAATAACATACTCAAAGTTGGGAGATGATCGATCAAGGATAAGCAAGATACTCTTAAATGCGTATTTTCAAAAATGACGTCATAGATAAAATTCAGTTTCTTTGAATTTAGATGCCAATAAGATGATGTTACAATGTCCGATTTATAGCCATAATGATCTATGCAATCATATCTACAACTCATGTGCTTTCAGAATATGTAATAAAAATCATCTTGAGAATGGTTGTTTTATTATTATTATTATTATTATTATTATTATTATTATTATTATTATTATTATTATTATGTTGTAATGATGTTGTTTGTACTGTTCTTTGATTTTATTAAAGAGGGCCCCTGAATATCAGTTAACCTACTGGGCTAAACTGGAAGGGTTACCCTCTTTAAAGACTGTCTCTTATACACATCTAGATGTGTATAAGAGACAGTCCATGAGGCTTAGGTGGATATAGTAATTTTCGTAGTTTTATGTATTAAAGTGCCCTTTTCAGGCATCTGAAAGTCTCAAATTCTTACAATTGTCTTACCTCAGCCTCAAACATGGTGGGCTGAGGTGGATGAATTGGTAGTTTTCAAATTTTAAGTATCCAAGTGCCGTTTTCAGGCATCGAAAGAGTCTCAAATTCTAAAATTTACTCATCTGCATCAATTACTTTGATTTTCTATTTATTTACTTATCAATTCATGTCAACAATATTTATATCCAAAACAACGAATCAATTATGTGAATAATGTCCTCCGAAAAGGAAAGAGATGATATTCATGAACAAAAAAGCCAACTGGGATAATATAAAGACATGGAAAAATTGAGTAACATAAGGCCTAAAAAAACAATTTGTTTGTTTGTTTGCTGTCACATTGTAAAAATTTGAACACGGGGGCGGGTGGAAAAGAGACAGACCTTAGACTTGGCTTTTGTTAGTATCCACTTTTAATTGATAAATGTCAAATTATAAACAATTTTGATTCATGTGATCATGAGGCCATTGAAATATATCTGAAGATTTCTAAAAAGCGTGACAAAAACATAACACTAGATTTGAACTCGTCACTGAGGACGAGTTAGGTGATCCGCCGCACTTTGACCCTCGAAGAAGTGCGTGGTGCGGATTGAACAATTTTTAAATGCTGAAAATGACCGAATGTATACGCTAATTCAGTTTCTTAAAATTGCGCATTTTCAAAAATGACATCATAGATAAAATTCAGCTTTATTGAATTCATATTGCAATATGATGACGTCACAATGTCCGATCGGCAATTATGATCTATAAAAT